GTGGTACTTTATTTTAAATTTTCATACCTTAGTTATAAAATTTAAACGTTTTATACATTTTTAACTACAAAATAATTTATAAWCTTTGAATTTAGGATCTACAAATCCCAACAGTCAACGAAATAGCAACTCGACATTACAAAAAGTTCCACTTCAAATTGCACTCAAACCAAAACCTTCTAATTTCACGAATGTCCTCTATAACCATCCCCAGCAACCCTCCGAGGAGGTTAAAAAGAAAATGGTAAAGAGACGCTCTTTCATAACAAAATAAAAAACTTTGAATTTGATACATTTTTTTAACATTTGAACTTTGAGGTTAAAATGCTGATAAAAAATTTAAATTTCTAACTCAAAAAAATTTCCAAATTTTAGAGATATTTACGTATTTTGTCAAAATTTGAAATTTAGACGCTTATAAAAATATCTATATCTTCTGTAGATTTACGTTCAATTTTTGCACTAATATTTACTAGAAACCTTATTGAATATAATTTACAATTTTTTTTATCGAAATAAGTTTAAACAAAATAAATAATAGTTAAAAAATAACTGACTAATATTTACCAAAAAATGATTATGCCCATAAAAAGCTTCACAAGAATCAAAATATTTTAAAAATTTTATGGTGCACAGAAAACAATAAGAAACCCGAATGTAAAGAAAATCGATTTTGAGTAAAAATTATCATTTCCCTTAACTGTTTAGTTTTTCACTGTGCTTTTGAAAACTATTGGGAATTTTGAGTTCTAGAATGCATAAACTARATTCACTTTCCTACCGGAAAAAAAATACTTACGTTGAAAATCTAATCATTATTTTGGCTACTTTTTGTGTAAACAGACACAAAAAGAAATACACACCATTGTAAACCTAATACATACATCACTCCGTTCAGAATCTAAAAACAACAATATCAAATTAGTTGGACAATTAGTTGCATTTCTTGTCGACTTTTTCCAAGTAAAATAATTTTTACCTTTATAYATAGCAATGTAACTGTATCAATCCATGTAATCACTATTTTTACAAGATTTAAAAAATACACTAGGATAAAAAAAAATAACTTTTAACATGACATTAGTGAATGCCGATAAATTAATTTTACTCACTCAAATAATAACTCGTAAAAATGAAAATAACTACATACTTGTAAGACATTTCTGATACCTAATAAAGTTATTTTACTCTATATTAAGCTACCAATTTTGTACTTTATTAAAGTATAATAAAAGCATAACAACAAGCTTGTAACCTGTATAAAAAAGAAATATACAAAGTAATCCTTTTGTCATGATCCACTCATTACTATGAAAATTTAAAACTTTCTTGAAAAAATTTTCCTCACATAATTTGATGTCATTAAAAGGTAATATTTTTCAAAAGAAATTTATTTTTAAGTTTTCTTCTTATTATTTTTATTTTGTTATTATTTTCACTATTCTTTTTTCCAGGATTCGATACAACTATTACAAATTAAGCATAACCATCTATAGTTACATTGAAACTACACCTCCTACGTATTTCATAAATAATTTAATTACTTATTTTTCTATATTATACAACAATTGAAAGCAAACAAAAAAACCGTGGAAGTCGTTGTGATATGAACTAATTTTCGAGTAGGTACAAATTTTTTCTTAATTAATAATATACACAATCTGTACACAACCTGCACAATAAGAGTATGAGGTAATTGAAAAAAGGAAAATTGAACATTTTGAATAAAGAAGCCACCCACCGATGACACTTTTGTATTTTAAGTAAATATTAAGTAATAATTTTACACTGATAGGTAATCAATTTAGTTTATTTTTATGTAATTTTACTCGTTTTATCGAGAAAAGTCTTAAAATTCAATTATTCAATTGAATGATGTTTATTGAAAAGCATTTGGATTCACAATATTTTTTGTACTTCCTTCTGATACGTACAMAAACAAATCAGAAGTTTTTYCGACACGTAACCGCATGCCACATACAGCTGTACATGTGAGAATCATAGATTTTCCAAATTCAGTCACACTTGTAGCGATTGTTCTTGTGATTTTTTGATAGTCATTGCAAACTGCAAAGGCCAGTCGCACCGGAAACTGCAAACATTTGAATTCAAAAGGCATATCTGTTGGAACCATTGGGATACGTGACAACAGTACATCTTCGTCTTTAAACTTTCCGTTTAAAATTGTAGCTTCGATTTTGTTGTTCATCAACTTTTTCACTAAAAGCCTAGTATCGTTGCATAATCGTGGTGGATTGATGCATCGTAGAAGAATGATGGGCACGCCAAATTTCAATGTTAGAATGTACGATAGCATGTCTGGAAAATCAAGTGAATTTAAGAATTCAATCGGATAATAGACAACTTTATCTTGATTCATTACGGCATTGATGGACTAGTACGTTATCGTTTCGCCTGGAATTTCGTTTAAAATGTTGTTATTGATTGTAGACATTTACACCAATATAGCCTGTGCAATGAGCCACTGACGATTATCATTCCCCATTTCCATCAATTGTTTTGCGAAATTGGCTGATGCATCATCATTTTGTAGATGTACACTCATATATTTCATATCAATTTCCAATCTTGAATCTCATTGCTCAGTTGTTTCAAATGAACAAGCTTGACGTTATTATTTAGTAGTGGCGCCGAAACCTATATGTTCAGGTGGGGCGATCACCCCACCTTTGAAAATAGGAYGGTGAGTCGTAGGTGRTTTGGGTGGTTGTAGGTGGGGGTATGATATGATCGTGATGTATAAAAATAATTCATATAAGGATAATAAAATATAAATATTCCCGAATATCAAAAACCGATGCAAATACACGATTTAGTTAGGTGTCTCTAGATGAGGTGCTTACAATTACGTATATTGTTCGCCATGTAGATGTTTAAAGATAGTTAAAATTCATAACAATTGATATTAAGATGAATTTAACGGGAAGAAGAAAATACACTGTAGACCCAATATGGCTCGTTATTTTATTATACAAAATAATTAATAAGTTATAAAAGTCGTTCTATCAAGTATCATTTTTATTCCGTTCTAATAATTGTCGTCACCGTCGTCGTTTTGTTAGTTTTTACGAAGTTGTTTAAGTACCTATAAAATAATTATCATTCATATTAGTATTATCTTCTTATCTGCGTTTAATAATTGTCAACTTTATCGAAAACAACACGATTTATTTTTCAGCCATGTATTTTAGTATTTATTTATTGTTATCGAGTAAATGAATTTGGTGAGTGCTGTGTACACCCATATAATGTAATATATTACTGATTAATGATAATAATATAATAAAAAAGCTATMTTTTTGTTTTTATCAAAAATTCGTTCAAAATACCAATCAACAACTTTGTAAAAAAAACGTCCACACTACAGTAGATACCTACCTATTCAATATTTTTTCATTCCGAGGACTACCTTGTCAATTTCTTAATTTCTTATATGTTCAATATTAATCATTTCACACTACATAATAAAAGCTCTTAATTTT